ATTCTGCCTGGAGAATCACCTACCGGAAGATTGAAGAAAGTCACGAAGACGGAGGAACGTAAAAAACTGTTAATTAAGTTTGGTAGATGTTTTAAGTGTATTAACAAGGGCCATCGCGCCCGAGATTGTAAGGCTTCCGTTCAATGTAAGAATTGTGAGGGATCTCACAACACGTGTTTGTGTGAGTTGTGATCACAGCAAACCCCAGCGGGAGATAGTGGTCAACCACTAGTAAATAGTCCGAGTAGTCTGCTTGTAGGAACAGAGAGTAGAATTGCCCTTTAGACCGCCCAAGCCTTAATTAAGGGGAATGTACCGGGGAGGGTAAGAGTTCCATTTGACTCAGGAAGTCACAAGTCTTTCAAAACAACAAAGGCCGCAAGTAATTATGGTTTAGAAATTGTAAGAAAAGAATGGGTAACTATTAACACATTCGGACAAACAGTTCAGGAATCGGGTTTGAGGGAAGTCGTCCAGTTTGATGTAATGCCTCCACAGGCCGACCGTTCACTTAAGCTTGAAGCTTATGTTGTGCCGGAAATATCTCATCTAAGCAACGAGCACTTAGAGGTCGTCAAGAACGATTATCTTCATTTGCGTGATCTATGGTTTTCAGATGTTTGCCAATCTAAAGAAGAGCTCGAAATAGATTTGTTAATAGGATCGGATTACTTGTGGGAGTTTCAAAAGGGGCGGACAATACGGGGGGAGCCAGAAGAACCGGTAGCCGTAGAGACTGAGCTTGGATGGGTGTTATCGGGCCCCCTGGAAAAGAAAAAATCAGATAGCGAGCGACAAGAAGTGACTGTAAATTTTCGTGGCGCATGAGGGTGTGGCGACCGTGGGAGATAGTTTAGAAGGGGCGGTCGGTAAATTGTGGGACTTGGAGAGTTTAGGAATTAAAGCGAGTGATGAGGTGCACGAATTGTTTGAGAGCGATATCAGTTTTATTGATGGGAGGTATTCGGTCAAGTTGCCTTGGAAACAGAGTCACAACCCCCTTCCCAGTAATTATGCAAACAGTTTGTCACGCATGAAGAGCCAAATCAAAAGATTGAAAAGGGAACCGGAAGTACTAGAAGAGTATGATTCAATCATTAAAGACCAATTAAGTTCGGGGATCATTGAAACGGTAACGGATTTGGAGGGGGCGTGCAAGGTCCATTATTGCCACATCAAGCTGTCATTCGCAAAGATGCGGAGACAACAAAATTAAGGATAGTGTATGACGCTTCAGCAAAGGAGTGTAAAAATGGGACATCCCTGAACGACTGTCGACACACCGGGCCATCTCTAAATCCCTTACTTTTTGAAATACTTGTTAGGTTCAGAGAAGATAGGGTCGCGCTTGTCGGAGACATTGAGAAGGCGTTTTTAAATATACCAGCAGATGTGAATGACCGCGATTGCTTGAGGTTCCTGTGGGTGGATGACGCACGTGACAGCAATTCAAATGTTGTCGTGTATCGATTTTGTCGAGTTGTCTTTGGATTGAATGCTTCACCTTTTCTGCTAAATGGAACAATAAGGCATCATTTAGCGATCTTCGCAGAAGCAGATCCTAAATTTGTTAAGAAAATGGTTGACAGTTTCTATGTAGACGATCTGGTTTCGGGTGACAGCACAACTGATAAGGCGCACGATCTATACAACAAAGCGAGGGCCAGAATGGCAAACGGAGGGTTTAGACTGCGGAAATGGAAAACCGACGACCCAAAGTTAAAGAGGAGAATCGGTTCGATGGAGACGGTCGCTAGAAAAGAGGAAATCGTCGGAAGATTAGAAGACGAAGAAACTTGTGCGAAATCGAAGCTAGAATGTCAAGGGGGGTCGAAGGGAGAAATTGAATCAGACACCTTCCACCTTGATCTCGCGCATATTGCTAAAAGGGCGGAAGGTCTAGAACCCACCAAGCGAAATGTTTTGAGCTTATTAGCCAGCTTATTTGACCCACTTGGGCTCATTAGTCCAGTGATGGTTAGTATGAAGATTCTTTTTCAAGAAATTTGTAGTAGCAAGTTTGACTGGGATGAAACGTTGACAGACGAAATTAAAGGGAAATGGGCTAAATGGGTCGAAAATTTGTCGCCAACGAGGGAAATAGAAGTCAATAGATGTTTGTATGAGGCGAGAGAAGAGTGCGTGACAGAGTGTTTTTTGCATGGGTTTGGAGATGCGAGTAAAAAAGCGTACTGTGCGATGGTTTACTTCGTGTACCGTACTGACGATGGACAGGCCTATGTGAGGTTTGTGGCAAGCAAAACGAGAGTTGCCCCTTTGAAAGAGCTTTCAATTCCACGGTTGGAGTTGATGTCAGCGAGAATACTGGCCCAACTTATGAACACGATACGCAATGCGTTACAGTCACAGCTAAAAATAGATGGCGTGAGATTTTGGCTAGATAGCAAAACGGCCCTAAGTTGGATTCAAACAAGGGAGAATGGAAACAGTTCGTGCGGCACAGAGTAAACGAAATTCTCAGCCTGACGAACAAAGAGGAATGGGCGTATTGTCCGACTGGTGAGAATCCAGCAGATCTTGGTTCCAGAGGGGCGCTAGCTTCCCAACTCAAGGAAAATGAGCTTTGGTGGCTTGGCCCACAATGGCTGATAAAAAAGAGAGAAGATTGGCCAGTTACGACTGAGCAGCTTCAAACTCCTGAGAGTCTACTCGAACAGAAGAGGCCCACATCGGCATTGTTGGTCGAGACGAAGAGCGAAGTCGGTATTGCAGCAGTAATAAATCCGAGTGACTATAGTTAGTTGCATAAGCTGGTGCGTGTCGTCGCTTGGGTGAGGTGATTCGTTGACAATTTGAAGGCCGCAAAACGAAAACACTAGACGAACAGGTAAGTTAGAAGTGAGAGAGTTGAATGAAGCTGAGCTCGAATTAATTAAGTCGGCCCAAGACAAATTAAAAAAACAGAGCAATTTCGAGCAACTGGTAAGTAAACTAGGGATTGTAAAGTAAGGAGAAATTGTGAGGTGTGGGGGTAGGCTTGTAAATTCGGATTTGGATCTTGATGCTAGAAGACCCGTCATTTTACCTAGAAGACACCATTTGACTAAACCAAGAATACGAGAAAGCCATGAAGGTGTGCACCACAGTGGTGTGAGAGCTATGCCAAAGGGCAGACAAGAAGTGAAAAGGGTATTGAACGAGTGTGTTACTTGTAGAAAACTAAAGGGAAAATCGTACAGTTCGCCACCAACCGCCGCATTACCAGAGTTTAGGCAGCTGTTTAGGGTCAGAGAAGCTCCGCCATTTTCGAGGGTAGGTGTTGATTTTGCTGGGCCCTTATACGTGAAAAGTAAGACGGGAGGGATGGAAAAAGTGTACATCGCACTATTTTCGTGTTGCGTGACCAGAGCTATCCATTTAGAGTTAATAAAAGATTTGTCTGCCGCAGCGTTTGGGCGTTGTTTGCGACGATTCGCTGCGAGATATGGAACGCCTGCGCTGATTTTGTCTGACAACGCAAAAACCTTTCAAGCGACTGAGAAAGCATTAAACGAATTATTCAACCATCCAGAAGTTCAAGCAGATTTGGGTCATATGAGGGTAGAGTGGAGGTTCAATTTAGAAAGGGCACCCTGGTGGGGGGGATTTTTTGAGCGAATGGCTGCGAGTGTGAAAGACTGTTTGCGAAAGACACTGGGAAATGCTAGATTAACTTATGAGGAGTTATTAACAGTGCTTGTGGAAGTAGAGTGTACGCTAAATGCGAGGCCGTTGACCTACGAATATAACAAAGTGGATGATGAAGAGTTGACACCTTCTCATTTGATCTATCGGCGTAGAATTAAATCACTTCCGGATGAACCAGATGATGTGGTCAGTGAGGCGCAATGTCTTGAAAGGTTTAAATATCTAAGCACTCGATTAAACCAATTTTGGGACCGGTGGCGAAACGAATATTTAGCGAATCTTAGAGAATTTCATAGTTGTAAGGCGCAAAGTAAAAATAGGACAGCAGAAGTGGGAGACGTTGTTCTAGTGCTCGAGGAAGAAAAGAAAAGAGGCGAATAGAGGGGGGTGTTACGAAAACTAAGACCCTCGAAAACGAAGACCTAAGACCTAAGACCCGTCTTAGTTTTCGAGATTACGAAAGCTAAGACCCCCTAAAATCGAATCCGTCGAAATATAAAGTCAAATTGTAACCGAAATAGGTCTGATCTGTCAAATTATATCATGTTCGATCATTTCCACCGAGTTTTAGGTCAAATTTAACGGTAAATATTAAGGGGTCTTAGTTTTCGTCTAAGACCCCCACCAAAATAATCTCTAAAATTTCTACAAAGTCGAATTACGACCGTTTGAAGACTATAATCCGTAAGACAAACAAAAATTACTATCACACGCGTGCTGATCTACGATCCGCTAACAATTTGAAGACTCGCTTAAAAAAGAGGACCAAAGCCTTAGACTTCCTACAGATCTATTGTACACTGAAAATATGCCTTACTCCCTATTGGTCTTTAATTTTGTTGTTTATCCTTTAAATCATGAAATTGGCTTTCCATGCGACTTTGTAGAAATTTTAGAGATTATTTTGGTTTGCACCTTACCTTTTGGCTGGCCGTTTCGGAACAGAGGGTAATCCGCCGTACTTGTTTTTCAAAGCTTCTCCGCGATATTCCGACATCTTGGATTTTCTTTTTATGCGGAGTTTTGTAATCAGGTATCGCAGGCGCAAAACTTTATTTTGATTTTGTCACCTTGCCACCTTGTCACGCAACTAAAAGGGAACCAGGAACCAGTGGTAGAATGGATCATTCGTAGAAAGAAGAAGAAGTATCAAGAAAGGAATATAAGGTAACTTACGTTTGTAAAGTCCTTTAGATATGCCCGTTTTATTAATTTAAAGCTAACAAAGCAACACAATGAGTCTCCCTGGAAGAATGGCTTTAACATGCTACACTTACATGACATTGCATGACATGTTACAACCTTAGCGCGGTAAAAATATTCAAAACCTGCACATACAGTATACGTTTGCCATGAACCTCGAGCTCGCAACGACTACTTTTGTTCTTGTAAATTTTTGTGTGGTAATTGCCACTGAAACAGCCACAAAACCTCATATCTTGTTAATATTGGTTGACGATCCTGGCTGGAGCGATGTCGGTTTCCATGGGTCGAAAATTCGCACACCAAATGTCGACAAGTTGGCGAGCGATGGTGTCATACTGGATAAATATTACGTACAACCTTATTGCACTACTACACGAGGCTCTCTTATGACAGGCCGATACCCAATACACACCGGTAAGATGGACCCAGCAGAGTCAGATGCAGGGCTGTGCGGTAAATTCCAATTAGGGTCTCAGGGGAATTTCGTCCCTTCTCCTTTCATAAATTATGTATACGTGAACAAAAAGAAATTTGGGACCGAAATTTGAAAGGAACAGTTCTTGAGTATTATCACATGGCCCACATTGGGAAAACAAAGCATAGGCGCTAATGAGGTCTATTTTGATAATTGATAAAAAGTTAAAAGTCAGCACTAGAGAGATCCGAGGCATTAAACAAATGTGCTCTGTTGTTTTTATTCTTCTGCTGGTCAATGAGATGCAAATGAGTCTGAGGTATTTTCTGCCATCCTTGCCAGCACTCAGAGACCAAGTTATACTCTCCCCTCAGTCCCTCTTGTCTTAATTTATTGGACTGGGAATAAAGCGAAAGGGCAGAAAATATAGGACAATAATTGTTGCACTATGGTGCCATTTTACTGCAACTACCAGAATGTTTCCGTTTGTTGTTTTCATGTGCAAATTAAGGCTATTTGTTTATTAAACCTCTGCGGGATTGACAAATTTAAAAATAAGAAACCAAAAATGAAATGAATTCTGGTAAATATAGTCAAATGTCGTCATCGTGAAAATGGCCTATAGGGTGAAAGTAGGGCGAAAACTAGTACACGGCAGAAGCAAACTGCAAGACTTTTCACGAGGCAAAAATATCAGTGTATGATGATTTGATGGGGAAGTTTAGTGAAGGGAGAGGGGAGGTCCTGTGGTTAGACCCATGTTATGGCATGTAATGATACAATAATTATTATTGTTGCTGTCCAAACAAGGAGTTCAGATTGGAAAAGAAAACTAGGTAAAAATTATCAGAGATTAAAATTCTCATTTTCTTGCAAGCTGAATGGGGTTAGTATATGATCAATTATTTTCTGCTCTCTTTGCAGAAGACTTTCAGATACTTTTAGTGTGGGTATATTTTGCGTCAGTGACAAGAAAGCCAGACTGAAATATCACCTAGGCAGTTTTTTTTAGCCAGCCATACAACATCTAGAGGAGATAACAACTACTAATGAACTCAGTATCAAAACTCCTTAATTCAAAATTTGCCACGTCACTGACAATAGACTCATAAAACTCAGTAATCCCCATATTTGTACCCTAGATAGCAAATATGGTCAGATATATCTCTCAGGAATCTGTGGCTTGTTCACTTCTCTCCAAGGTTTTGATAATATTTCTTAGCCAATAATCTCATCTTTTTATATCCAGATATATTTCATCCTCAAGTTAAAGACGGATAGGCAGAATCAGTAAGGATGATGAGATTTTCACAACCAAAGTATCCCATCATATATCTTTTGTAGTTAATTTTTTATCTCAGGTAATTGTTGTTTTTCTTTTGTTTTTGGGTATGGTAATGTATGTTAATGAAGTTGAAACAAAGGAAAAATAAAACTTACCTGCATGAGATAAGAAGTTAACTACAACATATTCTAACTGCCCTTAAGCCTCCAAGGATATATCTCTTTGTATCATACTTTAACCTATAATCTCACCTACCCGTCTATTTTAATTTTACAGGTCTTCAGCATAGGGCAGTTCTATTTTTAACTCCTTTTGGCTTACCTCTTCATTTTTCCACCCTTCCAGAAAAGCTGCAAGAATAAGGTAAGTAGTTTAAAGTACACCAAGATTGCATAAGTATTAGGTTAATGGAACATCTCTTATTATTTTTTGTGTGTTCACTTCAGCAATCATCTGTTTCATAGTTAAGTTCTTCTGCTTCCCATCACACCCTGGACGTCACCTGGGTGAGGTGCACAATTGCACTCAGGAACCAAATGGTAGCCCATGACTTTTTTCCATCGTTAGACATATTTGCAAATGGCTGTCTCTGTCAAGAAAGATTGTTGAGTTCAAGAAATTTTGCTACCATGGTAACTAGCAGTGGCAGATCCAGACCTTCAGATAAAGGGGGGGGGGGGGCCTTAGCCCGAAAAAATTTTTTTGGGGCCTTCCGGTCCCCCGTTGGGTCTAAAATAAGTGGGGGCCCTACCGACGCCCTACCCCGGACACACCACCTCGAGGCTTTGACTCATTCTTTGGATTTCTCAATTATGGACGTGATCACTTTAATCACACCCACAATGGCTTCCTGGACTTCTTCAGAGGAGAGGAAGTGACAAGAGAATATCATGGACAGTACGCTACACATCTATATGTAAAGGTAATACAGTACCCCATTAATTAACAGACTTTTTTTTTTTTGACTGTCAAGGAAAATTTATTAAAATGTCGAAATTAACTTTTGTAAGTATTTAAAACTGCGAAGAAGGTTGCTTTGGTGACCCTTTGGTGCAATGTATTGTAATTTATTTATTGTTTATTTATTGTTATTTGTTAACCGCTTGAAAAGTGCAATAAATAAAAAAATCTGAAAACAATCAGTTACACATCTGAAATTTACGTCTCAAAAAGTTGTGAGTCTGTACACTTTATAACAGATATCAAAAAGATGGTAATAAGTGGTCGAAATGATGGGTTACTATGCCTTTCTTTATGAAATCAGGAAGCCAGTAGAATTATCGCAGAACACAATTCGTCTACGCCGCCGTTTCTTTACATGGCGTTTGAGAACGTCCACGACCCGATTCAAGCGCCCGACGAATATCTGAGAAAGTACAAGATTATTAAACACAAAGAAAGAAGAGGCTACGCTGCGATGATGGATGTAGTTGATGAAGCTATTGGGAATATAACGGAGGCGTTTGAAGGAAAAGGGTAAGGAAAAGTCATGTCGTTTATAATGTGATTGTTTTTCAAAAGTAGAGAGTTATTTGAGTTTAGCTGTGGGATCAGTCATGCTTTTGCGTTTACAGGCTTACGGTTACCACGAAAAATTTGTGCATGATTTTCCCGCCGTTTTTTCATACCAATTGTAATTCGTGAATTCTTATTTTTGAAATTTTCAATCTTAAGTTTAATTGAAAAGTTCGTTTTAGTTCAGAAGTCGCAGATAAAGTCAGAAAAGTAATTTAAAAAGTAATAAATTGACAGTAGAATTATTATTTCCAGAAGACTGGCAAAATTCTCCGAAATAAGCACCCAGTCTAAAACGTTTTTAAATCCTACTGATTCATAAATTGTGTTCAGTCATTGTGCTGTATTTTACTTTTCTCCATTGAGTTTCGTACGTATGTGAAAATTTGAGTTGTGCGCATATTTTTCACAACAGAGCGCGAAATGCAAGTTTACATGGCTGAAGAACATTTTTTTTGTACAGCCTTCTAATATGGCGGTTTTTAATTGACTTTCGAAGACAATTAAATTTCTTGCGCGAATTCTTTTATAGAGTACCAGAAATAATTTTCGCTCACAACTTTTGACAGACTAAAGCTAACGATTCTTTCAGGGAATTCGCACAAAATGTTGGACCTCTGCCTAATTATGCGTCCTTCGTGGAATTTTAGTGCTGACTGGAATCTTCCGTAAGCGAAAACCGATTTTGGGCCACGATTTTTAGTTTTGCTTGCAGGAGGTTGTCGTTTACAAGCTTTAAGGTAATGTTACACGAGACGATTCGCAACAACGACTTTTAGCGTAACACAGCGTGGCAACATCGTTGCGACATTGTTTTGGATAGTTACAGCATTGTTCCAACATTGCACCGCTGCGTTGCGCTAAAAATCAGAGACTTTAAGATCCAACGACGCGGACGACAACGAGAACGTCAAAAAACAATAAGTTTAATTAGCAAAACAACAACTTCGCACGTGCATCACACTTTTTTGTACATTTCTTTCCCGTTTTTGCACGACTACGACGTGAAAATGCCTCATTTCGCGTTTTATGGAGGACGTAAACAAGCAACGACGAAATTTTATTTCTCTTTCTGAGCTTGAATTTGGTACCTTGAAATTCAGCTTCAGGAGGGTTCGCCTACAATTGACAAAGTAAGTGGGTAGGAATAACCGCTATAAAGACTGAAAGAACGCAAATTCACTTTTTAAGCGACGTTCTTGTCGCCGTCGCGTCCTTGGATTTAAAGTCCCTGATGCGAATCGTACCGTGCAACACTACCTTTACTAGCATATTGTTTGATTGGGAAAGTGATTTGGGTTTGTATTAAAAAAAAACTTCGCCTTTTTCTAGATCTGACTTTTCAGTAACGGGGATGCATATGGACTGGGCAAAACTCAGACAAGATGGTTCTTCATGAATTTATTTTCAAGATTTCAACTTGTTTAATATATCAGTTCTTTGTTCTTGCTCCTCAGGTTATGGAATGACACACTTGTGATATTCAGTTCGGATAATGGAGGAGATCCTGTGAATAGAGGCTACAACTACCCACTGCGTGGATACAAGAGAACCCTGTGGGAGGGAGGGGTGAGAGCGCCTGCTTTTGTTTATGGAAAGATGCTTAAACAAAAAGGAGTGATCGTCAAGGAATTAATTCATGTCACAGATTGGTACCCAACTCTCGTCCGTTTAACAGGTAATTGAAACTACTTCATAAACTAGTTAAAGTAACTTTAAGCAAGATTGATCAAGCGCACTGAAGCTTCATTTTAACATCTTTCCACAAACAAATCCCACAGAACAACTTAGTTTCATAAGAAGTCGATCCACACAAAGGACATTCGGCAGGTAATGAACTCTTTTCAAGAGTTGGCTATCGAATGGATTTGTATAAGTCCAGGAGGCAATTCGTGAGAGGAGCTCCCTCTCCCCCCTCCCCTCCCCCGCCGCTTCTGGCATGAGTTAACTCGCCATTTCCCAGTCCAGACGAGGAGCGGGTAGACGTGCGTACGCGCGTAAGCCGATGTCTAGCGAGGAGGCTCGACGAAAAACGCTAGAATTAATAACAGGTATACTCTTTCTCTCCTTGCCCTTTAGGTTACCGTTCTAACAATAAACCTCTATTCGCCACTCCATCAACAATAGGGAGAATTCGAATGGACACAAGCTGTCGGCGCGACGATTTGTGAGATCTTTGCATGGACAAGCGTGTGTTATGATCGGTTACTAACGCTTTTCCACCCATGCGATCCCATAAATCTTCTTACCGAAGGCTTGCCCCCTTTCTCCGTGAAAGTTATGGAGTGAAAAATTGAATAGGTCCACATAAGCTATCTTCAACTAATCTCTTAGGTGGTACCATGGACTCTAATGATATTCCAGTAGACGGCTTTGACGTTTGGGACACCATTGCAAAGGGAGTACCTTCACCCAGAACTGAAATCCTCCTAAATATCGATTTTCCTGAGAAAAGGCCTGGCCTTCTTCTGACCTATGACACGTGGTACACGGGAGCGGCAATTCGTGTCGGCGACATGAAGTTGTTGATGCATGTCCCCAATGCCACTTGGTACCAGACTCCAGAGGATGGCGGGATTGCCCCACCGATGGAAGACATTTGGGTAACAGTGTGATAATTCATTCCTCCCTCCCCCATCATCCCGAGACCTCCTGCCCCCCTACCACCACCACCCATTTTTCTTTCTTTACCACAGAAGATTGATCACCCGTTACTATTTTAACCTGAGGGATCACCAACCTACAGAATGTTAAATGGTTAATCGAGCAATTTAACGTAAAAACGTTTGAAAATTACCAGGTGGAAGCAGACAGCCTTAAAATACAAAATATTAGTTTTTTTTCTCTTAAACAAAACAAAAAAACAATGGCTACTCGCAAGGCACGCGGTGGGGGTGTGTTTCTTTCAGACAAGCGAGCCTCATACGAACTCGTACCTCCTTTTTGGGTTTTCTTCTCAAAGTCTCACTCTCCATATTCCACACTCGCTCCCGTCTTTTCGTTTGAAGACCATTTCGTTTTCGTATGAACAACATAAAAATACAGTCAACTCTCTTTAAGACGGACACCTTCGAGACCGGCCCGACTGTCCGTCTAAGAGAGGTGTGCGGCTTATAAAGAGTCGAGATTAAAGTGACACCAGATATTATAAGAGAATAAAAATGAACTCATTCGCAATGAACACACTTCTGTTTAACTTGTACAAGACAGCAAAAACTGGAACATTGAAAAAAAAAAAGGGGGAATCATTTTTCTCATTTTTCAATGTACATTGTACATCACTTTATACGACTTGTTGTTTAAGCTGCAAAGGAGAAATTTGTCAGCATAAGTCCTTGACGTGTTTTTGACTTCTTCTTTCTCTCTTTCTTTCTCAGGATCAAAAAACAAACATTGTAGAATTGGCTCTTTTCAACATATCCGCTGATCCGACTGAACGACACGATGTAAGCCGCAGACATCCTGATATTGTGCGGCAATTAAAGGCACGCATACATGAATATCAGAAAACCGCTGTCCCACCCGGAATCGTCCCAGATGATATAATGGCATTAGTTTTTGCCATGAAAAATAAAGCTTGGGTACCCTGGAGAAACACCTGCAATGCGAGATGAATTCAGTGTTATTTCAACCGAGCTTTCGCTAATAGTAATTACAAGAACTTTCTCGAGCCCAGTGTTGTGGATGCGTGGCACAGGGCACTGGAGTTCACCAGAACAACCATAAGTGTACTGGCGTATTAGACAGTCAGCAACTGTTGACACGTTTATTGAACTTAGGTTAATCTGACTATTTAAAGCACTTGCGGTGAAAACTACAATAGTAAATTTCGAATCTCACAAAAAAAAGATAAAAACTACTAACACAAGTTACATCCGATATTGATTCCATAATCACCTACTAATTATGAAAAAACATAGGCACGTTAAATGTGCGTGAGCTATTTTGAATGCTTATGTGTAGCCGTCGTACCAAGAATCTACCCTTGTCACAATAGTAAGAGAGTTTTGCCCAATTAGCCTGAATTTCAGCTGTCTCCTCGAAAAAACTGCCGAGATTGTCGTTGTCGATCGCGAATTGCAACAGTAGTCGGAGCTTGCGTCCCTTGTTTTCAGTTTGCACGTGTTCTGACGTGTTGCGTGCCTAGGGCCCGTTTCTTGAAAGTCCCGATAATAAACGGGCCCGGTAAGCTGTCGCCGTTAACATTAAAGATTGAGGTTTCAATAGTTTTGCATCTAACATGATAAAACTATCAGTTAATGAAACAAAATGGAGTAGTTCGCAAGCCAGGACCGGCGCTCCTATTCTTTATATTTCGATTTGAATATTTGATTTCGGGCCCGAAAAGTTACCGGGACTTTCGAGAAACGGGCCTCTGGTCTTGTACGTAATTAATTCATTTTCAGTTTAAGAGTTCCGCTTTGTTATTTGGCTGATAACGCAGTAAAGATACCGGTGAGTACCTTTGAGTACCGAAATAATTCCACTAGCTTAAGATTATACAAACATTTATCATGTTAGTTAATACATCGTTAGTTTTTATTGATATGATACACTATATTTTTATGTTACTGTCGTGCTGTTGTGTGTTAAATGTTTGACCCCGGTTATACTCTTTTCGGTGAAAGACGGCTGTGACGACTGAATTGATGATGTGTCAGATGAACTAGATTGTAAATACGCATCAATTATTATATCATATTATAAATTATATATACGCAAATGATTCCTCTCGTCAAGGTTATAAAATACAAACAAGCATGGAGACTTAAGGTAGTAAGTCAATCGTACACTTCCGTCTTAAAGTCAATCTTGTAGAAGGGAAATATGCCTTAACAGACACATCGATAGATTTGTCAGATTACATTGGTCCCATAGTCCCATAGTTCCCATATGGAAAAAAGAAAACAGTAAAGCTACATATGACGATTAAAAAAAAGAACGAAGATGGGCAGACACATTACGTTAGTTACACATTAGCTTTAGTAAGAAGAAGCGACCTTAACATCATTTCGAAAAATTAATCGACTACAATTTCATCGCTAAGTTCTCAAGTGGCGTAAATGTAACTATCGTGTTTCTTGAAATTTCTGCGAAGCGCTATAATGGGGCATACCTGTAGTTTGCGCTGTGAAATAGCCGGTATTTATGCTTCCAAATCTCGTCTAGATGATAATCTGAGTATTTTATAATTCACAAGTGATTTCACGTATTTAGATGGCATTCACAACGTCTAAATGAGTAAAGCCTGTGAACAGGCTCTCTGTTTGGGGAAAGGGTGAAAAAATCGCGAGGATTTCACCCTTTCCCTAAACAGAGAGCCTGTTCACAGGCTACAATGAATATGGAAACAAAAGCAAATTTTTATCCGAAACATGCCCGTTATGCATGAGCAAGCTTCAGTCGGGGAGGGTGGAAGGCGGTGTCAATTCATGTGGAACACCCGAAACACCGAAAGAATAGCCACGAAGACCTCCTGACAACAAGCGAACTGATAAAAAATGCAAATGGCAATAACTGAATGAATAAAGAAACGACAGCAAAAATTAAATATGCCTTACTACTAACGGAGCACGGGGAGCAGCATTGTCAGGAAAAACTTGTATCTGACCTTCTAAAAACTTTTGGGTTAAACGTGGCCGTACGTCCGCCATAACTTAGGTGCGGACCACAGGCAAATCAACGTAAAACGGCATGAGAAGATTTGTAATTTTCGAGACCTCTATAATGAACCTCGTTCCCAGGGTTCCAGGCTTCAAGATAGTGGTGAAAAGTTGTTCAGTAAAGAGGTGTTAAAAGAAACGCGAAAAACGCGCGAGGACTGGGGAGAGACAGAGGCAGGGCCACCGCCCCCTTTCCCGAGTCGTGCGCGTCTTATTTTTAATACGTCCCCACTATACTATCTGAGAGCCTGGCACGGGCTAGGTCAGTTAAAATTGTCAGAAGTCGTGATCCACTGACCAGGATCGAATAACGAGATCGTATCGCGGGCTCTGTAAAACGACCTGTCGAGGTCTGGCCTGCGCCTCAGTTGTTCAAAATGTGGATAACGCTATCCGTAATTGGTTTCCCTAATACATATCCGCTGGATAGTGATTTATCCGTTGGATAGCGCTATCCAAAGTTTAAACAACCCGGGCCTAGTGCTTTAGAAGTGACAACCATTCCTGATCGAGGTCGTACGCTTTAGTGGCAATTTAATTACATAGTTCGACAGAGTATTACTTTTTCAGTAAAGATGATTGTTGAGACATTAAAGTTGGCATGTTCCGGGGGATGACTTAGAAAAAAATTGTGTCAACACATAAGCTTTTCCGTCTTTTTCAGTTAATGCAATAACCCGTTAAAAAGAGGTCTATTAACTTAAGTTTGCTGCTTTTCTGGTTTGTCTTTGTGTATAACTTGTAACTGTATAAAGGTTTACTGTAAATAAAAGCGATAGAGGGAAAAGTAAATATCAATATTTAAGAATATCTGTCAAACGGATAAAAGAAGACTTCTCAAGCTTTCTGTAGACCGAAGCTCCCAACAGACAACTTCGGGTGACCAGGAAAGGGAAGTGATGGGAGACAAAAATGATGACTATTAAGATGTAGACCTGATGTACTCTGGTTAAAAAGTTTTTAAAATAGAGCTTTGTACAACATTACTGCTATCTTGGAAGGAAAATAGTAATGAAATTAAACATTAATAAATTTAAATGCAAGAGATGAAATAGCCTGTGTACAGACCCTTCCCCCCTCCCCTCAGGAAAAATCAGAGATTTTCCTGAGGGGAGGGGGGTCTGTACACAGGCTAAATTAGGCTGAATTAGCTATGCAGTTACATGTAAATATTAATAAAATAAGACATACATATTTGTGATTATAATTAGCTTTTTAATTCACTTAAGTTACTTTGTAAATTGCATTTATGTAAGGTATGGAAGAAGTACTTCCGGCTGTTTCATGGGTGTCCCATGGTTTTCCCAGGTATTTTCTGGGTTGTACCATTCGGTTCTTTGTAAGACGCACGCTCACCATGATTGGTGTTGGACTAACTATTCCATGCGTGCCACCCCTATCTAGTAAAACTATTAAAAATGCAGTATTAATTAGAGAGAGCTCATTCGTTTCTGTTTCTATTCACAGTTCTCAGTGAAGACCACTACTGACTGCTTATTGGAAATTTAAGATTTAAGTTCTTATAATTTGGCAGTTGCTACTAGTCCACTCTGCACCCTCTTCCCTTCCAGCCATGTCAGTCTATGAAAAGAAGGAACTTCAATCGCCAAATGGATATTACAGCTCAACACAGACTTGTGAAGGTGAAAAGATGTATACATATGTTGCATTTATTTTTTTTTATTTCAGTTAATTTTTGTTTTTCCTTTGTTTCAAATTCATTAGCATACATTACCATACCCAAAAACAATAGAATAATATTAATCTATTAAGATAAAAAATTAACTACAATATGAGTCGAGGTAACAAAATGACTAGAACTAAACTTCTATCTCACTACCTTTTTCAAAGTAATGTAAATCTCTTCTAGCATCCCTCCTACCCAATATCTTTGGCCTACATTCCTTTTTAGTTATTTTTAAATTATAACAAGGCTTGATGGGCTCCTCCACTGTTAATTTGTGAGCAGGAACTTGCTGACAGTCTACATACAATAGCATTTAGAATACAGTGCTGTTTAGCACTATTTTTTATTTCTTTTATCATAAAAGAAATTGATATACAAAATATATTAGGGGAAACTCACCAAAACGCCTGTTTTATGACGGTATTTTCATGTAGAGGTGTTTGCGATTACTCCTTATTATTTGATTAGAGGCTTAAAGAAAACATACTGCGGTTTGCTTCAAGTACTGCAGTGTTAGATCTGGGGAGAAACTCATGGGGTGGTCCAGAACCACCTAAACAAAATCAGAACCCAAAAGCCCAGAGATGCTTGTTAGTAATGCATCAGTCAATTCCAGCTGCACCCAGCCCCCCCATCCCCCCCCCCGGGCTACTGCGGGGCATTTGCCCACCTTGTCAGTCGTGGGAGTGGGGCATTTGCAAATTTTTTGCTGCCCGGGGCCATTCCCGAGCTTTCGACACACACGCGGTTTCCTATCAGAATACAACTACACAGAGGATTGGCTCATCTGTCAAGGACAGCAAAAAATTAAAAAGGGTTGTAAAGGCATGTTGTTGATTTTATGCCTGCATATCTTCATTGCTCATCAAGCCAGAATTACATTCAGCGAAATCGTGAGCTATCAACATGAATCAACGTTTTTTGGTTATTGAATCAAATTTCTGTTGATATTATTTGAAAAACATCCTTTCATATTAATGAAACTATTCGTAACATACAGTAAAAACCCGCGAGTAAGAACCTGAAAATTAAGAACCTGTTAGCCTAAAAATTGCCATTTATACCCCCTATAAAGAAGAACCTGTTTAGCCTAGACAATGAAAAATCATATTAGTGAAATACAACGGCAAAGCTGTGCAAGAATCCTGTTTGGAGAATTAGGAGCTTGGTATTGCTGTGCAAATAAAAGTGCTAATTTATTAATGTAATAAAAAAATAAAGTGCAAGAAGTTTAATAATATTGTTGTATCACATTTTGAAGTTGAAAAATAGGCTGATTACCATCTTGTTTTGTAGCTTGTTTTGTTTTGTTTTGTTTTTTTGTTACAGAAATAAGAACCTATTTAAGAACCTAAATAGCCTAAAATCCTAGTGCTATTAAAAAGGAAGACGTTAATTGAAACAAAGAATCGCACATTAAAATGCTTAAAACGGCACTATTCGACTGTGCGATCAATGTAAAATGTTGCAGTGTTGACGGAGGACGGACTCTTTTTTCTCCCCACCCTGGGGGATTTGACAGCTCAAGAGTCCCCACCCCTGGGTATTTGCCATCCAAGGCACAAAAAATGCTAATGCCCAGGGGTCAGCCTGGGCTTGTACATGTTATTAGGTGGTTGAGAGGCGAAGTGATACACGAGTTTCAGCCATCTTTAAGCTACCGAATGAACGTTGTATTGCCCAACCAATTTCAGCTCAACAGTCGTTACTTATGCATCAGTCAATTCCAGCTGCGCCCAGCCCCCCGGGCTGACCCCTGGGCATTAGCATTTTTTGTGCCTTGGATAGCAAATTCCCAGGGGTTGGGACTCTTGAGCTCTTGAGCTGTCAAATCCCCCAACATTTTTCATTGATCGCACAGGAGGAATCTGGCTGAAAAGAGATTTTAGAGCTTCCGGAGCGACAAGGAGGCAGACTGGAAAGACTTGGCAGAAAGATAAACACAATACAAGTAAGTGTCAGGACGTGTAAATGGTGTTAAGATACCTACTGCAAATTAAATCAGGCCATCTCAGTACTGAAAGGTTGACTTATTCAGAGCTTTATAGTTTTGACAAACTTAAACCTCGAGCTTCCCAAAATGTAGCCTGCGAAGCGCAGACGCATTTCCGGTCGTCGCTTCTCTCCCTCCGAAAGGCTACCCAAAATGGAAATAAAAATACGAAAAAATTACCTGCGTCTTCCATATTTTTCTATTGCAAATGGAGCACTGCCACCTTGATTAACCTCTTTTCTGCTCTTTTCTTCAGTAATTAATGACAATTCCTTTGGGAAACTCTCAGAGGTCCCGTTTAAAACTTCAAGAACAAAGTCTTATCTTTCTCTCGTGAGTTTTTCTGTCCACTCAAAAAGCATATTCTTCCTTCCCACGTTTAAAGAATTTGGAGTTAATTCTATGATCTATTTATAAATACGCTTCTACTACACGGCTTAAATCCAAGACCTTCGCTCTACAATATCTTGACCAAAACCTCTTGTTCGAAGGCATTTTTCTTTGAGTTTGGTTGTGACAATATATTTGATCAGCGGCTTTTTAGTCGAGCTTTGCTTGAGCAGAGCGAGACTCTTAAAATGCAGTCGTTTTTTGTTCGTCTGTAGGACCTAGTTTGTAGGCCCCGCGTTCCTAGCGAAGACCGTTGAAACTGGGGACAAGAATCGTGACGACTTTCATCGTATGGAAATGAGTCTCGTGATGAGCATGTGGTTTGTTTTTTGGGGGCTGACTGGAATAACGCGCAACGTTTATCACGTTTAAGTGCTTTCTTCCATGCAAGAAATCACGTTTTGTCGTTTGCGTTAAAACAGGTTACGTTTCATGCTTATATGACATAGTAAGCCGATAAAATCGTAAGTGCAAAACAGACATAACAAAAAGTAAAACTGTAAACACGTGCTCTCTCTGATCTTATGGTAATTTGGTTCTGACCTTCACGATCACGTGCGAAAAATTCACGTGCGAAAAAGTAAATACAGCTAAACGTGACAGAAAGAATAGTTTTGTAAAGACGTGTTCCGGGTCATGGTAGCGCAGAATCTGGGGATGAAAATCTCAATCTCAGTGAACGCTTCGAAAAACAACGCGCAATTGTCCGAATTTTATGTTTTGAGACGAAAAAATTGGAAAGATTAATGGATTATACGGTGATGTCGCTTACAAATCCACACACTATTCGTTGTAGACCCACACTAAAAGATGTCGAGCGTTTTCGGAATGGATCGTTCCACGAATTCTGTCGTTTGAAAGCGTTGATAACTTTGAAAGAAGTGAATATATCAGATGTTGAAACAAGGAAGAATGTTCATGAGCAGAACTTCGATGATGAGGTAAAAAAAAACAAGCAAATCGTCGTTAATTTACCTCTTGTGTTCAACAGCCTGATTCTTTTCCTTTTTTCATGATGCTGGATACTTGTAACGAACAACTTGATATTTCGTACATCATTAATATTATTGTACAGGCGATGATAAATGTCGGTTTGTTCTACGCATGGAGTTCTACGTTACAACATACGGAAAATTGTCTTCAGAACTGTAATGTATTGGAAAAAGTTATCAATTTGCGAAATACTGTAGGAAAACGGCATAAAAAAGAGTTCAAATTCATTTTCGGCGACCGAAATTTACGGCTTCGAGACAGCACTTCCGTTTGCTGTCCACCGCAACAGATGATGACGGAAATGACGTAGTAAAGTAAATGTATTCAAGATCAGAGCAATAAAAGGAGGTGGTAAACCTACACGACTTTTACCTCACGCCAAAATGCTGCTCGTTCCACTGAATAAAGTTTTTTTCGTCTGCTGGGTAGATTATGCTCTGGAAGGTTCTACATTTTCACTGAGTAAATGTTATTTTACCCGCATGTTTCACACTTAGAGATCATGACACACATATCGATTTACTGTGGTTATTAGCTGGGAGGAGCGTTGCGTGACGACATTAAAAACGACTGTGTAGCAGACCCCGGGGTAGCAGACTATTTTGAAGCGTGATCGTGAAGCTTTTTATTACGGCTGAATAAGGGTTCCAATTTTCTCCAAAGTATCTTCTGGATCTGAATAACTAAGCGATTTTCCTTAGTCCATGAATGTAATGTTTTTGTGCAATGCTGTATCACGTTAGGCCCAACTCATTAGTTTTGTTTGGAAAATCTTAAATTATTACGGGTAGTGATTTACAGGTCGTGTGTACTGTTGCAATAAAACGTGATACTGAGTAGAGCGGAGGTGCAAGGCAACTGTAATATCATCACGACTGAGCCATTCTTCGGTGGTCCCAACAATTACCTCTTGCGGCTTTGGCTGTTCGTTTTGCGACTCATTACTGGGAAGCCTTTACACAAGCGAAACCTGCTTAAAAACATCGAAGACTGTTGACATGTACACAACAAATGTCCAGTCTTGAAAGATCTTTACTTCACTTAAAACTCTGTTGCCTTCGCATAGATCTCTAAGATCTTTAAAACTCCCTCCGCAGCTGATGGGGGGTCTGTTACTTTTGCGTTTCCAGTCTCATTCACTTTCGTCACCGAGAGTTGCGGTTCACAACGAACTAAGTCACGTGGTACAAGTATACTCCCTTATCCTTTTTTTACTCGCCACTTCGCGCTTCGGTCGCCCTTCGGGCGACGGTCTTCCGTCACCCTTCGGACGACCTGCTGTGCACCGACAAGAATATAGCTTGCGGTTATTGATTTTCAAAATGACGAACAACAAAGTCGATCTGGATCAGGTAAAAAGCAAAGAAATCCTTTACAGTACATTCATAAACATCCCATAGAACGTAAGAACCGTTCAGTTTTTCTTGAATAAACATTTTTCGAGGTGAGACTTTAAATAAGTAATTCATTTATTTACACGCAACTCCTCTGGACCCTGTGCAGTAGATTGAAATCATAATTCAACTTTTTCACTTGCTGTCCGTGACTCTGAGGAATTATGACGAACCCCGCGGGAGGACGACTCTGCATATGAAAGGCAAGGGGATGTTCGTCGGAAATTTTGAATTAAACCCCTACAAGAGACCGATCCGGGCGTAACCCAAGCTTTTTTGACCCCTAAAAGACACTATGTTACTGAAAACTCAGACAATTCCCCTTTTTTTATATATATTTTTTCACATGCAACCCTAAACGAAACCTTCACGGCTAAATATAATAGCGTTTTGCCCAGAACACCGTCAGTAAGACCAAATCCGAAATTTACACCCCTAAGCAAGACGACGAGCATCCCAAGCCCTTTTATATGCGGAGCGCCCCCCCCCCCCCCCCCCCCCTGCCCCCCCCCCCCCCCCCGAGTGACGAACGCTCGCGCTCTATTCGCCTCCTCACTTCTTATCGTATCTACAAACAAGCGAGACTCAACGCTACTTAGAGCGTTCTTGTATTAGACGATTAAATGTATTATGTATTTGACCACTCGAGCTTTTGGGGGGGTCCCAGGGTTCGTCTCGCTTTTCTTGGAAAGCCAGAAGATCTTGGGGACGAGATACGGCTGCAAGTAAAATAGGTAATGACGTAATTTCGTTGTTATGACAACTCCGATGTCATTGTCACCCTGTCTTTATCTAGTACAGCTGTGGTGGTAATTTTTCCAAATCTTTGTTAATGGCGACGTAGTTTATGCTCAAACTTGGCAGGTATTGACCCTGAAAAACCCTATCGAGCTTAATCTAGAAAATGGTAAATTGTGTTAAAATATCTATATTCGAATCATTTTAATTTCATAGTTATCATTCTTTTTCACTTGCGTGTATTTGTTAAATGGAGTTTAAACTAGCAACTTCGTGCAGGTTTTTGTACTCTCACACAGTTGTGGCCAAAGATGTTGACAAATAAGAGGGTCTCAACTACGTGATGGCTTTTACGGTTATCGGCTAAAATTTTGGCTCTTTTACGGCTATCAGTTAATTTTTTTCAGTTACCGTTAACAAAAAAGTTTAAAATTAATTTCTTTTTTTTTCAAATAGTTGAATATTAATTAACCCGTATTTTTTGTATCTTTAAAGCAAAATAAAGGTCTTCCATCATCTCAGGATGAAATAAGCAATTCCTTTGAAAAATTTTAACATTTGATAAATCATTCTTTTTATAAAGTATTCCACTTCTAATATTATTTTACACATAGAAATGTCAATAGTCAATTTAAAAATAATCAAATAATCTTTGTGAAAAAGCAAAAGGGGACACGCGAACACCCAACTCAAGGCCGAGGCGAGACATTTCATTTATAACAGAAATGGCCGTTTTCACACTATAGACGGATTATTCGTGTGAGACGGGTTATCCGTTTGATGATTCGCGTCAGATAGGTAATACGCGTTAATTTGAAAATGGAATAGTTTTAATTTTGAGTGAACAATCCGCCTGACTTAATCCATCAATTTTGACAGACAGTTTGAAGATCGATTATCCATTTCAGAGAGCCTGTGTACAGCCGCCCCCTCCCCTCAGAAAAAATCGGAGATGGGATGTTTGTGGGGGAGGGGGCGACGGTATACAGGCTAGTCTCAGATGATAATCCAGTTTCTAGCTCTAGCGTGAAAACGGCCAATAACAAAAATTCCTGTGTCCAGTGTTTTTAATGATAGCGCGCTCGAGCGAAGTGTACAGAACGACTGTCTGCCGTTGCCTTGTCCGTAGGCCTCATTGCTCCGCGCGGCTAACGGTTTCGGGTCACATGGTCTGAGCGAGTTCGCCAACGAAATGCCTTGACCGAGATTGCGTGGGAAGACGCCGCACAGGGACTAGGCATGGCAATGTCTACCGTAGCGTCAGGAAAAACAGGAGATTGTTGTTTATCGGCAACGTGTTTTACAAACAGTGAAATCTCTGCGTGTTGTTTCACTAGTGTTTCGAGAGCACGACCTCCTGAAAATCGCAAATATTAATCCCCATTAAAAAGCCACACTTTCGCTAGGGAACAAATTACATGTAGTTCCCCGAGAGAGCGGTGGAAATGGAGCCTAGGTCTAGGTCACAACTTAAAGGCGCTTGGCGTAACGCGCGTAACGAGTCACAGTACATGGGAAATAAAAAATGCATTCCATAAGTGAGTTTAGCACCTTCCTTAAAATTAACAAATCTAGGGAACAATTTCCTTTACGGTTAACTCTTTTTTACCCTATTTACGGCTAACAGTTAAAATTTTTCAATTTTTACGGCTATCGACTAAATTTTTGGCCGTTCCCGCCTATCGCTCAACCCCATTGAGACCCTCAAATAATGTAATTAACCTGAATTTATAAATAAACTTTACCTTTCAAGTCATCTTTGTTCACTTGGCGATTTAACTCCTTAAAATGCATGGACTGTATGCAGAACGCTAAGCCCGATCCTGATAGATAATTATCCACCGAACGTAGGTGTACTTGTTCTGTTTATTTCAAATACACAAAATTTTGCATCCGCTCCCTTAGAAAATGTCTGCTGCAAAGTAGGTGCGTTAACATCTCTGTTAAGCTTAACTATATCGCAGGCTTTCGATAAGTATGTCCATTTTAATAAAAGGTATCCTGCCCTAAAAAATCGTCGTTCCCCTTTAGCCTCGCATTCATGCTCAAGGCCTACTCGTCCTAGCCCATCGGGGAATATGACTATTGTCTATTCAATTAATTAAAAAAGGCTACCGGTACTCAAGGTAAAACAAAATGAATATCGTAAAACATTTTCTAATACCCTCTTATGACGCGGCCGTATTCACCTTTCAATTACCAAACGCTCTATATTTTTCCCATGTTTTGACTAGTCGCACCACCTGTGGAGGGCGAATCAGAAGTGGAAGAAGAACTCCAAGTTAGTAAACAAGACACAAAAAAATTGTTAAAAAGAGTGAAAGAAATGAACGGTAAGTAAACCATTGTTGGCGATCAACATGTCTTTCACATGAAGTGAATTGCTTACGTTAAGTATATATTATTTTTATTTTTTCGGAACTACTTTATGGTCAGGCCAGGAGTTTCCAATGTATTTATTAGTCTAGCTTAGAGACAAACTGAAAATGGCCATTCCTCGAATTTTATTTAATCTGGGCCCCACTGCTAAAATTTGTCATTAAACCCTTTTCGTTTTTGGTCATTTTTCTAATTAAAGCGGAGGCAGAGACGGCTATAGAGGAGCTGGGAAGCGTACTGCAAAATATAAAGGTGGCTACTAATGAGCTGAAGAAGCTTGAAGGTAGGGCACAGCTGCTGACATGGTGCAAAGTTAGACCAGGGGTGCACTGCTAACCATTTAACAGCAAAAATTCCGATTGGGTTGCCCATTGGCATAGTGGTAAGGGATATATCAGCTCATCGGAGAGATAATTCGGAGAAATTTTCGTTACGGTTTGAATCCAAAACGGGCGCGAATATGAATAGATCAAGCGCCGGGTAAGTCTGAAACCGAGAGAATGGTAAATGGTTAGCGAAATTTGGCTCGGTTTATACCAACCTGAATAAAAGGACTACTTCAAAACGTAAAAGGCCTCACTTTACTGCTGGAATTTCCACAATCAAATGACCTAGCCAATAACCTCCCATTCGGACTTTTTTCTAACTTAATGCTAAGCACCCTATAGATTAACCAGAAAAATATTTAAATCTCAACCAATAACTGGTTCTGCTCGCTGTTTTCTTTTCGTGAAAAGTAGCTGGAATAGTTGAAGGAACTTTAAATGATCATGAGGAGATGAGGAGATGTATTCAACTGTCTACACCAATACTCCGTTTTCTTAGCTGTTAAAATTAGTTCAACTTGTTAAACCATCTATGAGCTCATTTATCGCTAGCTATATGCGAGTTTGACCATTTTAGGTTCTACAAAGATGTAGAAGGTATGAGCAGACTGAAAGGCTAACTCCGTGCCAATATAAAGCCAATCATCTTATGTCATTTTCGTCCCTGTCGCCAGAGTCCTATTTAACCGACGCTGTGAAGCAAAGTTCAAAGTTAAGCAACCATAGAAATTAGCTGATATTGATCTTATCCCTTTCTTTAAAAAAACAAGCTTTGGCGGGTGAAAAACAAACGGAATTGAGGCAAGGATTGCAATTGGCAGAGAGTTATAAACAGGAGGCATCTGTGGAACAACTCAGAGGTACGCAGTTGTGTGCTCAAGCGGGGCGTGAACAAAATATCCACACTGGCACAACATACCTTTAGTCTGTTCATGATCACGGCTAGGTTGTTCTGTCCCTCTCTCACTTGAATCTTATGTTTATAAATGCTTGATTGAATGCCTTAAACTGCAATGTGTTTGTTTTAATGTTGTACTCTGCGTCGTACAGGCTCAAGCGCTCAGTAATGTAGGAGCTGCTCGTAAGGTGTTTCCTCATGGTCGTAGAAAACAATAACACATCATTGTTAATCATTATTTCCCATTGTTTCACGGTTAGGCTATCGAACCAATTGGCTTCAAGCGCTAAATGGGGACACAGCAACGAAAAAATCCTCACATCAAACCACATTCTTAAGTTTAGCGGTATCTCAGTAGCGCCTTCTTACTTTCCCTTCATCTATGTTAATATTTTAGAGTAGCATTAGTGAAAACAGCAGTCATTTAAATCAGTCATACAGTCACGTTAATAACGCGTTATTAGTTTACTAGTATTATTTTTATGTGCATGTAGGTGGCCTTATTCCCCAAAGCGGCATCAAACTATCTCCTATAGTTTTAGGTGTCTAGGGTGTCTAGGTGTCTTAGTTGTCTATAATTGTTATTATTGTTATCATTTTTTTACTATTATTATTATTATTATTATTATTATTATTATTGTTATTATTATTATTATTATTATTATCATTATTAAGTAGGTTGAGTATGATCGTTGATCGTCCGGGTGAACTTAGTCCTGAATAGGACTGTTGATCAATCACGCATTTATTTTTTTAAAAAAAGCCTTTTCTGATATAATGTTGTAATTTTTACTAGATAATTATTCATTCGTGTAATCTTTAACTGTAAGGCGCATTTGAAAACTGTATAGTTGAATTTGCGCGTTATAAATAAATGTTATTAATGTTATTATTATTATTGCTTGACGTTTCGACAACCTGTGCAGTAGTAATCTTCAGAGTCAAAGTGAGTTGTATCACGTCAGTTGATGGTATTAAACTTTGGTTATTGACGTGATTGGTTAATTAAGTCGCGATGTTATTGGTCGTCTGTCAGTTACTCCGTGATGTTATTTGCTATGAAGAGTCTCAAATGTCATTGGTGCGTTTCGATCCGTCTTTTTGTTGCAGTTGAACAGTCATTGTTAGTCGAATTGTCGGTTCAGTCATTCTGTCGTTGTCAGTTTTGTTATTATTATTATTATTATTATTTATTTATTTTTATTTTATTATTATTATTATTATTATTACTATTATTATTGTTAGTAGTAGTAGTAGTACTATTATTACCATCATCATTATCGCTTGCAGTTTCAAAGGAGCACAAAAAGGAGGTCGATAGCACTAAACGTCCCCTGTTAAAGAAGATTAAAGGTAAGGTACTTAATGAAGATAATTGTTTCTATGGCCAAAACAAAAAGACGTGCAGAAGATAACGAAAAAATTTTTGTTAGATTTTTTTTAGAGTACCCGTTTCCAGCCTACTGTCCGTGCGTGAATTTCTTTTTGGTATGTGGACTTGTGCAGGAATTTTTATCTTACCCATATGCACTTGCAGGATGTTTATTTTCTTTTCAAAATCATCCAGCACCCCCACCCCCTCCCCTCCCCTCCCCTCAGAAGTAAAATGGTTGGCCCCAAATAGATCACGGACAACGACCAATCACAGCGTACGTAATACACACCACATTGTATAAATAAATATGTATTACAGCGAGGACCAGCCAAGATTATTACGATTTGTTACTAATTAAGGCCGGTGCAGGACACACTTACAGCGGGAACTATAATTGATACTCAGCCTCTCACTTCTGGCCCTCTTACTTTTCTTGTATGGCCGTGGCAAAGTGAAAGAATACTATTTATCAATCTCCTCATATCTCTTGAGCTATAATGGAAGAATTTTGATTATCTTGCTTGGATTCGGTTTCTTCCCCCTAGGTCTGTTTGGTTCGCACAAAACCCCAAAAAGGAAAAAGGAAGCACAAGCCCCTCCGCTGCAAGCGACGTACAGCCAAGCTGAAATGACACCAGAAGCGAAAACCAACTATTTAGGTGTTTTATATATTCCTGAGTTAACTTAATTCACATCTTTTCTTTTTGGAGTTAAATGTAAAAAGTACTGCAATAAAGATAACATGGCCAGCTCTGCTTTTTTGAGCACTACTGGTCGGTCACCCAATTCAGATCTAATATGGAAAACAGTTACGCAAAAGCAGCACAATCGTCTCAAAATTGCAGGAGGATAACTCTTGTTATTATTCATTCAAAATATTTCCCCGATTCTGATTGGCTAAAAGGACACGCATAATTCACGATAACCAGCTACTGATGACCAAAATTTGGAAGAATTTTGCGCTTAATGAACCGATGACGTCAAAAGTACAGCGTTCTCGTAGGTTAATGCACCGTTAGCCGAGATGAACTGAGGACGAGGTTGAGTTATTTTGGTTGTGGAAACAAAAATGGCGGACATTTCACTCGTTTCAAGAGTAAGAACTAGACGAAATAATAGCTAAAAACATGGCAAGAACAGCAAGAAGACAACTCGAAGGGCGACATCTGCTATTTGGAAAATATTTGCAGAGCTGAACAACCCTAAACGTGCACTATCGAAGATGAATTTAACATCGATGGAGGTAAGCACGTTTTAGCTATGTTTTTAAACTAGGGATTGTTTTGAATGAGTAATAAAACAATTATTGAATTCGGCTTTTGTATCATATGAAGAATTATGGAGATCGAGGAGGGTGTTATCCGCCTCGGACTCCTCGATCTCCATAATTCTTTATAAGATACTCAGCCCCATTCATTAATTGTTAAATAATAGCATGATTTGTACGTAATATTCGGCATAAATACCACTCGTAATATTTCAATTAATTACGTACAACAATTTTGAATATCACTGGTGGTATTTATGCCAAATATCACTACAAATCATGCTATTACCTATACTAAGTTATAAGACATAATATGTAATAGCCTAGATCCTTACTCTTGAAACGAGTGAAATGTCCGCCATTTTTTGTTTTCACAACCAAAAGAACTCAACCTCCTCCGCAGGTCTTCTCGGTTAACGGTGCATTAACCTGCAAGAACGCTGCATTTTTGACGTCATTTCCTCGTTAAATACAAAATTCTTCCAAATTTGGTCATCGGTAACTGGTTATGGTGAATTATGCATGTGCTTTTAGCCAATCAGCATTGGGGAAATATTTTGAATGAATAATAACTGTTTATACTACTACTCACCAAAGGTTTGTAATTTTCACATGTAGGTATTTCAAATTAAGCTGAAATACCACTGCTCTGAGCCAATCAGATTGCAGAAATTTATCATGTAGTGGTATAAAAGTATGGTAATAAATTTATTTGTTAGAAGATGTGGGCCGACGTGATATCGTGGCTTTTTGTTCTCAGGTTTTGACTACTCCTTTGACGATGCCCAAGGTCCTCAAAGGGAAGAGTTTGGAACAGAAAGGCGTGCCTTCAGACGAAGGGGAAGCTCTGACGAAGTGTCAGAGCTCAGCTTGGGAACGAGTATGTACTGTCGCAAGTGTATGACCAACCAACTTTGATTTAAATGATTGTTTATGACAAGTAAATTTTATAAGCATTAAAGTAAGCAATTTGCCTAAACTACTTGCTTGGTGACGTCATCACCTTTGGTCTCGTCGCATTCATGGGGGACAAGACATGGATGATGAATTACCGTACTCTCACAAAATGGTAGCCTGCGCAGCAGGCGCGTGAAAGTAGTGGGCGCAAGAAAGAGCAGGCGCGCAAGAGGGAGACACGCGTGTACCGAAGGTACACGCGTGTCTCCCTCTCGCGCGCCTGTTCTTTCTTGAGCCCACTACTTTCACGCGCCTGCTACGCAGGCTAACAAAATGGTTACAAATTGCGATAGCTTTAAATCGGTTTATTACAAAGTGCGATGGACAGTTATTACAAATTGCGAAAAGTTTTTGATTACAAAGTGCGACATGGTTAATTATTGCCACTTTGACATATCTTATCCATATATCACATTTCAGGAAACGCCTTTCCCTACCGCAGCCGCAGGGGTTCACTGAGAAGTTTGCCAACATTCGTGGGCTTTTTCTCCGACGAATTCGAGGTACATTCGAATGATACTTACACCCGGCATCCACATTGATATTTGAAATTTTAGTGCAATCGCACAGGTTTTTAAAAGCAATCAGACAGCTACGAATAACGACAAGAATGCTCCGCCCCGCACCGCCATGTCTGTTTTTATTGTTAGTGAAGGTTGCATTTACACATTTACACGAGCGCGTTATCAATTCCACGCGGTTTCCCGACGCGTTACATTCTGAGAACGATTAGACTGCAAAACAGTCGGTTTTTTTCTCCAAAGCGTGGCGTAAGAGCCTTACGCTCGCTCTCTGTTTTCAGCCTCGTTGCAGACCGTTTGTTTGACTGCTCGCGCGTACTTGAATACGCAAAAATACGGAGTGTTTTACAGTCTAGAGCAAGGGTCTAGAGAACGATCTGTCCGTTGTCCGTGCTTTTAGATCGTGATTTTGTTAGAAGGGATCTGGAGACGATACTAAAACGGCGTCACTTTGTTTACAAAATGTCGGTGAAACGCAAAGAAACCAAAAGCCAGGGGACCAAAGAGCAGCTTACTTGAGCCGATACTAAAGTAGACAAATAAATGAATACAGTCACTCAGTAAGGCTGCAGAAAACTTGGAACTTGAAATTGTAACGGTTCCAAGAGGTAATCCCTGTAAATTCAAGCTACGGGTAAATGATTTAGTAGACGCCCAGGGTGGGGAATCAGACACGAGGCGTTTAAAGGAGAGAGTCGTTTATTCTCATAACCGTTAACGAAAAAAACAAAACTAAGATGCTTTTGTTATATATATAAGTCTAGTCAAGACCATTTTTTGATCCACATCGTTTTTTTTTTTAATCTCAACTTCGAGGTCAGGATCAGTGTATTGGCATAACTGGAGCAGAAAAGATGCCCGTTACAAATGAAACCGCGTCTGTCCGCGCTGTCTAAACACAGCCTCAGTGAGCCAAGAATGAGCTGTCTGTGGTTATAAAGTTCAGTTTTAGCATGATCCCAGTTTCATATGCGATTCAGAATTCTCGTGTTTTTCTTAGTTTATTGAAAATAAAAAAACTATTAAGATCTATAAATAAATACATGGTTTAATTTGTAGCGGCAATACTTACTGATCAATGCTTTAAAGTTCAGTTGTCAGGGCGAGGTCATTATGATCTTTAATCAGTATAATCACAACTTGGAAGATGGTATTGACAACTAATCGTTGTTTTGCATGTGGCTTATTATTGCTTATCGCAATAATTGATTGCAAAAAAAAAAATGAGTGACAGCTTTCCTCCTTTCCTTTTAGGATCCTGGAGATTTTAAAGGCAAGTAAAAAACTGTTCTCCCATACAGATAAATTCACCCTGGAGAGGTAGGGCGGTAACAAGAACCAGCGAGCGAATCGGTCTTTCTTGTTTTCCAACGGTGTTGTGGGGGAGGGGTAAAGAAGAAACTGACTTTTTTATTAGATCCATAGGCATTTCAGTAACGTCTTATTACAAACTAAGTTTCTTTGACACAGACAAAGAAGAAGAGCAAATTAAAGGGCGATGGTTGAATGTGCGTATGGGATGTTAACTTGCCTAAATCGGATTGAGAGAATCCGTTTTCAGGGAAGTCAAAACTAAATATAAAATTTTAGTTGCCTATTTAGGGAAAACGGAACTTGCGTCCAGGCTCCTTGTTAGAAGCATCTTTTAGAACTTTTTATGTGATTTCCCGTGTTATGTAGAAAGGAGAAGAAACAGGTTTTTATATATTTTCTTTAAAAAATAACAGGAAATTTACGTCCACGCCGGAAGTCGAATGCGAGCTGTCCGGGAAAGGTAAGGTCGTGCACTCTGTTACGTGGTTCGATTGAAAGTGAAGTGACAGATTACAAACTAAGCATAACGCAGTTATGTCGGGAACGGGAACGAGTCGACTTAATCCGTAATTAATAAACGTAAAATTCACTAATAGCCGGGACGCTCTTTCGAGTAAATAGGGTTCATTTACAAAAGTTCGTTTACGTGGAGCCCACCACTCGGCTCACGTCCAACAGAGAGATAGCTCTGAAACTTGAAATAAACTCAGCTCTTCACACTCTTGAACTCACAAAAACCAAAATCGTAATACATGTAGGCGTAGTTACAAATTAGGTGTGCGTTAATAGGGCGAACCACATTGCAAGGCACAAAAGTGATACGAGTTCAGCCCCTGAAAAAAATTGTCGGCAGTTAAACTTCCCCGGGGGGTAACACCCATATAATAGGGACGGTGTTCTTAGTCGGAGATTAGAATAAAACCCCTTAAGAAGACCAATCTACCTACGCGTGGCTCAGACTTTATTTAACCCTTGAAGGAGACCATTAACCCTTTAAGCCCTAAGAGTGATCAGCATCAAATTTCTCCTTGTGATATAAATGATTTGTAAAACGGAGTGGTCATGAGAATTACGGACATGATCACATAAGATGAATTTGCTTGATATTTTATCAACTTCTCCCCACTACTTCTGTTGGAAATAAATGGGGCAACAAATAAGAATTCAAATTTTGATCTTAGGGTTTAAAGGGTTAACTAGGAACGGTCAATGTACCTGTAGTAGCTACCCCATTAAAGTAGCGATAGTTAAAGTCTGCTAAATCAAGTAAAGAGGATCGTTACTTCGGAACTAGGTAACACACCGTGTTTGCATTGTGTGCGTGTATTTGCTTAGAGTTATTAGAGCTGTTTATTTTATGTTAATTGTTTTTCTGACGTAAGTTTTTACTCTTCACAGATGCCTTATGTGATACATGGTAGGTATGGCTGGCAGCTGCCCTTAATTTGTTCTTAAACTTTCTGTTATTAATAAGCTTTTGCTAGTAGCGCTTTGGAAATAAAAGGTACAGTTGAAATCTTATGCATGACTTGGCTTGTGTGCACCATTACATGGCCACGCGGGGATACGAAATTTTTATTCGATCGCGAGTGTTGAAAAATATTTCACTCGTTCGCTGCTCGCACTCTTGAAATATTTTTCAACGCAAGAAGAGAAATTTCGTATCTCAAAGCGACCAAGTAATGTTCCTTTTTATATAAAGACTAATAGAGTACCAAACCGAATTCACTTTAATAATTTTTTTTTGCTGTGAAAGACGCCGTTTATTACATTATGTAGCTATAGCAACGAGGATCTTTTCACGTGTAAAGATATCATTTCTCGGGCGAAAGCTCACCTGGTATTTTATTAATATAAAATAATAGCATGATTAGTAGTGATATTTGGCATAAATACTACGAATCAGATATTTCAAAATTGGTATACGTAATTTCACGAGCCGTTAGGCTTATACACACACACATGTAGGTAATTCAAATTAAGCTGAAATACCACTGCTCTAAGCCAATCAAATTGCAGAAATTTCTCATGTAGTAGTATAAGTGTATCATATATGTATTGCTTTTTTTATATTTCTTCTGTTATTGAAACCTAAACTTTCACAGGGCTGTACTGAAATTCACCAGACGGATAAAGTTAGACAGATTATTCGTCCAAAATTAAAACCCTTCCGTTTTCGATTTATCCAACGAATAATCAGTCTCTAGTGCGAAAACAGCCAATGAAATTCAAGTAGCAAATCTTGCTAGTTAGTTAACTATTTAGACCATTATAAGTGATCAAAATCAGGCAAAAAACTTGAAAGAGCAGGTTGTTCAGCTTCAGTTTAAAACTTGAAAAAGAATTGAATTAACTAGTTTAAAGACTGACTATTTTTGCTTTAGATAGTTTACAAATGATTCCTGACGTTTTTTCCAACTGTTTTGCATCAATTCGTCATGATTTGTTATAAGAGTGGTGGTTCCCGTTCTTCTTTCTAGTCATCTTTTGGATTCAAAATTACATTTAATATTTTTTGCTTGACCATATAACTTGATGTTGTGAGTGTTTATGGAAGTTAAACAGCAAACGTACATCGAGAGCCAAACTTTTTTTCAGATCAGATAGAGATTACAAGGCATCCAAAGTCTCAAACAGCAAAGGAAGGATCAACAGTGCAGTTCACATGCAAAGTTGACAAAAAGAAGACAAACGTGATTTATCAGTGGTACAAGGACGGCGTTGAACTACATGGTCAAAATAACTCCACTCTTGTTCTGGATAATGTGAATTTGCGGGATTTCGGCCTTTATATGTGTTACCTGTACTATGATTATTTGCCTGAAGAAGGTGTAGAATCATCCTGCGCAACACTGAATGTCATCCCTAAAAATGGAAAGAGTAAGTGTTTTGACGTCTATGGGGCTGTTTAGATGGAGGGAGGAGGATCCTAGCACCAGGAAGATCTTAGAAGGCGGATCATCCTAGCGCCATATGTTTTCTGTATTCGGTTTAGATGCAAAGGGTTGTACTTGTCCCTAGCGCTAGGATCTTCCTACAGCCGAGAGGTAGGAAAGTTGTTCCGCCTTCTAGGATCTTCAGTAATCCCGCTATGTAAACAGCCCCTATGTGTCGATACCATTGCTAAATTCCCGGGGAAAACCAGTAGGGTGCTCATCCTCTTTCCCAGGGCTCTCTCTCTTCCTCCAGAACCCAGAGAACGAAGCTGCGGGGTGCGAGTCGTATCAACAGAGCGTTTACACTGCCACATGGCTAGCATCTATGTAATTTTATTAAAACAGAAAAAAGGCTTTTACATCAGAAAATAGTTCAACTCGAACAGGTTTTTTTTTTGGAACACCAACATGGCCAACGTTTCATTGCAGGGTGGATAAAGGTTTGGCGGTGAAACGAGCCTTCCGCTCTTCATTCCATGTGTGATGCGGAGTAGGACTGGCAGGAGCGCTCTTTCCGCGCTTCCGGTACGCTTGAAGGCCCGTGAAACTTCGCTTTTTGCAAACCGGAAATCCCATTTTCTTTCTGTAATTTCAGGCTACAAATTTAAATAGATAAATTCGTTTCATAACAATATTGTCTATAAGGCCGCCGAGACGTCATGTGAAAACGCTCTATTGAGGATTGGTACCCCTTAATCGCCTTTTATGATTGTCAGTGCCAGCTAATTGTTGTTTTGTGTATTATTTTCTTTCTTCTTAAATATATATTATGCACAGCTAGAGAAACTAGAGTGATTTTACTTAACCGTGAAATATTTTTCTTATATAGAGTTTAGTCATAGCTAGATAATCGATAGTTATTTTTCTTAGTGTTTAAATATACATATGACTTCTGTTTAGTTTTTTTGTCTCATTTCTTTGGTTTTTTTTGTTTGCTGGTGTCAGTTTTGATACCGGAGTCTTTTTTTCGTTTCAACGAAGATACTTGATTCCAAAAAAAAAAAAAAATGTGACGCTTTGAAATCCGCAATATTTTGAAGTGTAAAAATTTTTTCCAATTTATCTGGACACTTTTCCGCCTTCGATCGTACGAGCTTGCACTAAAACCACGGAAGTGTCACGTTGAGAGGGCGTTTTAATGACAACGAGAGCAGAGAAAACGTTTTTCCAACTCGCTTTATTAAAAAATGGCGGATGAAGGTGAATTTCCCTGGAGTTGAATTCTTGGGGACCGCACACAAGTTAGAAATGAGAAAAAAATTTCGTCCTCCAAACAAATTTCACGCTCTGGTCGAGAAGGACAGCTAAACCATGGAAAAAAAATGACCCCTTTGAGGGACACATAGACTTGAGACTTTAAAATTGGTTCTGCTCATTCGAAGTTTGAATGAGCGGGCTGTGGGCCTGAAAGAAGGCAAAACGAAATGGCGCCGAAAAGCGTACTCGTCCCGTGAAAGGTTTTTATCGCGGAATAGAGAGCCACAAAGTCTCAAAGTCTGTGATTTATTATCACACTAGGGATCTCACACTCCTGTCCGACTTTTTGTATAAGAATCCTTAAAAGGGAGTTTGTTTTACCTAAGCTTGCCTCTGGATCCAGTTCTTCATCACGATCTTCAGATTTGTTCAGATTTACAATTGTACAGTTCGTACAGAAGTTTACTGCCAACCAGCATATAGAACATTTATCAATTGCTGAATATGAAACCGGGCGCAACTTGATAAATTTACGACAAATTTGGAATTTATAGATTCAAAGATTACTTGTTTATTTGGGCCTGAAATGATGGATATTCTTTGTGGCTGTATTTCCGACCCACCGTTTTCCTTCTTTTCTTGGTCGTTTTGCACGGCGTCTACACAACTTCGAAGCCCGATTTACATGGTTTATTTTTCACTTTCCCAACGTATTTTACGACTTCCAGATAGAGTAATAAATAAATGAAATAAATGTCGTAAATTAATTATTTTCCAAGCTTGCGAGCGGGCGGAATCCTCCAAATCCTGCAATCTGATTGGTTCCGAGAGCGGGGGTATTTTACGATCTTGTCCGCTAACCCCGGCGGAATCGTTGGCAACTTCATTCACAAGTTTGGTTGTTGTTTGTGAATGAGCAAAAACCGTCATTTTCAAACCATTTTTCTTTTAAAAATTGCGCTATTACTAGCATTAGCCAGGGAAAAGTAAATATTATTATTCAGACAAAAATCTGAAGGGAGAATCAAGCAAGTCAGCCAGGAAAACCGCTAAAGTAAATCAAAACAGGTGGCTCGTGATGTCGCCTCACTAGCTTTATAACCGCGCTGTGAGCACTGCAATCTTGCTTTTATGCACCGTTTATTGGACATTTTTGCTCTTTTTGTAATTTTGTTTTCCATTTTTTCTGTATGAATCTAGATTCTACCGTTTTTCATTGAATTTTGCCCCGCTAGTTTTCTACTTATCACAGGGCTGTCAACCCCCACGTCATCAAATATTGAGAATTAATAGGGAAGGAATGATGGATGACGTCAAATCGCACGACAAATGACTGCATTTGTGCCAAAAATGCTATTTGATTCAGATTGACTTATATTGCGCATAAATAGTTCATATTCAGCCACGTTAATGTTGCTTTAATTACAGTGGCATACCAGAATTTATGAGGAAATGTTCCATTTTAACAGTCGCTCAAACAACGCAAAATATTTGAAATTTTATGGTCGGAAAGTCAAGTCTACAAGAAATATCGACTTTGGCGGTTATAGGGAGATACCAGACTCTAATCTGGAGACTAGGAGATACGGTCCAAAATCTGGAGTCTCCCGGATTATCCGGGAGAGTTGACACCACTGTTATCAGAAAAAGCTTGTTGTCAAAGATTTCATTTAGCTTTCAATCTTAAGCTTAAGCTTAAATAAACAACACGAATCACTTTACCAGCAGTCGGTCAGTGGTCGGTTACCGCCGTTTTCATTTCTTTGTTTATAACTTGTTACTCACATCGCCTTCTTTTCAATATTCGAATTCAATTCAAAACCTTAAAATTGGTATGTGTAATTAGCTCCTTTGTGCAGTTTTTGTCCCGCTCGATTAAACTAATCGTAAAACAATTTTTGAATTATTCAGCCGAAGAAAGTCCTTGCTGAATTTTTTTCCAGGCGCTTTTAATATCAAGCTCGTCAATTCTTTTATCCTAGTTTGACACTCAGATTATGAATTGTCTAGCAAGACACAAAAACCTTTCTTTATTCTAAAAGAGAGCAGTAAGTGCCATGGTATAAAACAGCTGTATAAAATTACCGAGCTAAAAATCATGTTGCAATGTTTTGGTTTGCAATCGATCGCGCGCTTCATCAACATGAACGCGTCCTCCGTACTTCAGCACACAGGTTAAGGTTGGAGAGTGAGGGAAACTTTTCCTGAAACTTTTAAGTCTCAGTAGGAAGAAAATAAAAATGTTATTCATCGGCCTAGGTCGGTCCGTATTGGGAGAAACTGTGCCCTCGGTCTGAGTACCGCCCTCGGCCGGTACTCAAGGCCTCATGCACAGTTTCTCCCAATACGGACCTCCCAGCTGGTGAATAACATATATATAACCGTACATTTAGAGAAGTAATCGTTGACTTTGTCTAGTTTTGCTTTTCGCTAAAAATTAACAATAACTGTTAATTTTTATTGTTGATATGATTTTGGGTCACGAGTTGGGGGCCTGGGAACGAAAAAAATTACAGGCAAATGTCACGTAATGTTAATAAGGACCGGTCATTATTTATCGCCTTGGGGGGCCGGCGGCGGGGAGGTTTTGGGCGGGGATCACTGGATTTTTAGGAGAACAAAACTCCGGGGGGGATCAGTCGTAAGCTAGAGCCCACAAGGGGGGATCACTGAAAACTTTGGAAGGATTCAGGGGGGACAACGCAAATTTGCTTGGAAAATGAATACATGGGGGGGATCGCGAAAGTCATCTAAAGTTATTAGGGCAATCACGTCAGTGAAGTAACATTCAACCGTAAGTTAGCCTCCAACGGAGACGGACAAATATTGCATGTAACTTTGTTGCAATCAGTGTATCTCGAAACTCAGAATTTAAAACCCGCATAAAAAAGTTGAGGCATTTTAAAGTATCAAATCCTACAAATGTTTTTCATGATGACATTAACTCAACGTGAACTCTAGCTTCAAAAGAAGAATAAGCCTAGAACACATTTCTGTAGCTGTATTCAAGGTTAAACTTTCCATTTAACTCTTTTTCAGACCTCAAACGCCTAGGGCAACTGGATATGACTACACGACATGAAATTGCATGCCTGCTTGGAAAGAGGAATGTGGGACTTGGCGGGGTTACGCAAGTCGCTGCCAAATACGGCATGACATCCTACGATATAGTGGCACTGGACAACTACATGGAGCCTGGAAAGGCTGTCTTGGAATATCTTATGGCATCCAAGCCTGAGCTAACAGTATATAGTTTCTGCAAGACACTCAAAGGAAAAGAATTTAAGAGGTCCGATATTGTGCGAAGGCTAGAAGATCACTTTTCGTTTCGAGAAGAAGCTAATGAAGCTTGTTCGTTCTTCTGACTGGCAAACATTTTCCTGAAAGTTACTTTACCAGAGATTCACCCTTTGATGAGTTGATGNGTTGAGGCATTTTAAAGTATCAAATCCTACAAATGTTTTTCATGATGACATTAACTCAACGTGAACTCTAGCTTCAAAAGAAGAATAAGCCTAGAACACATTTCTGTAGCTGTATTCAAGGTTAAACTTTCCATTTAACTCTTTTTCAGACCTCAAACGCCTAGGGCAACTGGATATGACTACACGACATGAAATTGCATGCCTGCTTGGAAAGAGGAATGTGGGACTTGGCGGGGTTACGCAAGTCGCTGCCAAATACGGCATGACATCCTACGATATAGTGGCACTGGACAACTACATGGAGCCTGGAAAGGCTGTCTTGGAATATCTTATGGCATCCAAGCCTGAGCTAACAGTATATAGTTTCTGCAAGACACTCAAAGGAAAAGAATTTAAGAGGTCCGATATTGTGCGAAGGCTAGAAGATCACTTTTCGTTTCGAGAAGAAGCTAATGAAGCTTGTTCGTTCTTCTGACTGGCAAACATTTTCCTGAAAGTTACTTTACCAGAGATTCACCCTTTGATGAGTTGATGGGGTATTTTTTAGTCATGTTAGTTGTTCACTCCTTTTTATTGTATTTTATGCATCCTTATGTTAGCAGCTGGGCTGGATTTTTGGAGGTGGAAAGAAATTGGCCGGTATTTTTCTGACTTTTATGATACCAACAGTCTTAACAATAGTATTAATGAGATTCTAAGACGAGGACAACTTCGACTACTACGAGTACGAGATTTTCTCAATACTGAGTAGTGTTTGGGCGTGAACCAGCGTCATTTTGGCGGGAAAACGTGATAGCCGTCGTCCTTTCAACTACGAGGTTTAGCGAGAATGTGTCAACGTCGTAGTGGCGGAAACACTAAAGGTGATGTTACACGGAACGATTCGCAACGACGATTTTTAGCGCAACACAGCGTTGCAACAGTGTTGCAACCATGCCAAACAAGGTCGCAACAATGTTGCAACGCTGCCGTTGGGATAAAAATCGTCGTTGCGAATTGTCCGGTGTAACATTACCTCAAAGCTAATGAAAAGCATGAACACGAGACCAAGTTCTCTTTCTCCGGCAATTTTTAAAGGCGATGCATGTTACACGGGACAATTCGCAACGACGATTTTTAACGCAACACAGTGTTCATGCTGGAACATTGTTCTAACCATTCGAAACAACAGGGCCGTTTATACGAGAGAAAATAAGCCGCGGCTTACTCTGGCAGCGGCTTACATAAGACGCGAAAGGAACCATTTATACGAGTACGGCTTATATTAGAAGCGAACTGCTCGTATAAATGGTTCACAGCTTAGTTCGCGGCCAGGTTGTACTTCTAATAAGCGTAGATTTAAAATTAAAATCGGAGAACTTACGAGGTAACACAGACATCGAGCTGCCCCGCAATCTCAAGCTCGCTGCATATGAGCAGGATTTGTTTTTCTTCTGGGGCACTCCACACATTTCTTTTTTTACATGAATCTCTATCCGCCATTTTCCACTGTGTAAATGTAAACAAAACTCATTTTCCCGCCACTGGGACGCGCGTCTCTCGGCCGTGAAGGTCTGGGATATAATTGAAAACAGAACGTGCGCAGCAGTCGTTCACGGCTTCAGCAAGCCGCGGACAACGTTTGAGTGCATTTATACGAACACTTTCACGTCCAAGGTAAGCCGCGGCTTGCATAAGCCCACCCCAAAACCCCTCGGCCAGGATAAGCCGCGGCTTGAGCTGGCCTTGGGTTGAATAAGCCGTGAACATAGATTTTGTACCATTTATACGGGGTGTTCGCGTCTTATGTAAGCCGCGGCTTATTTTCTCTCGTNGTTTGAGTGCATTTATACGAACACTTTCACGTCCAAGGTAAGCCGCGGCTTGCATAAGCCCACCCCAAAACCCCTCGGCCAGGATAAGCCGCGGCTTGAGCTGGCCTTGGGTTGAATAAGCCGTGAACATAGATTTTGTACCATTTATACGGGGTGTTCGCGTCTTATGTAAGCCGCGGCTTATTTTCTCTCGTATAAACGGCCCTAATGTCGCAACGGCTGTCGCAACAACGTTGCAACGTTGTGTTGCGCTAAAAATCGTCGTTGCGAATCGTCTCGTGTAACATCACCTTTACATTAATACATTGAGACTGAATCAAAACCAACGTTTTTTTGCTAGGTTCGGAGCTAAGCTTTGGAACTCGATTCGCGATAAACACCGTCTTCTCCTAAAGGGAGCTTTTAAAAAACATATCAGCAACATGTTGCTTTCGATATTAATTACAGGCTGATGAGAACGATTCTGTTGAAGTGCCCATTCTGTGTCGTCTGTATCAGAAAATAGTAAATGAACTACACAGTGTGAATAGTTTAATTCAGTTTGCAGTCTGTCTACTTTGAATTTGAATATATACCTGTGACTGTTACAAGTGGTTGCTTTTGTACATGTCATTTATTCACGTTGAAGTTTTATTCTTTCATTTATTATTAATTAACCAGTCTAATTTTTCACTGACTGCTGTGCCCCTGTATCTCCGTCCGCCTTGACTAGCACATGCTATTTGCGGGAGGAAACGGTCTTCATGTATGTCAATTGTTAATAAAGTGTGTGTGGAAAGTACAAGTTATCAAATGTTATGTTAGAAGTTTGATCATTTTGCGATCGGGACTACGTTGAAACGTCATCTTCACCCGACGATTGCGCGCGGCCCCTGTCAAGCAAATCGATATATCATATTTTAACTGTGAATAATTTCCTTTATATACGCGCGAGTTACTAGGATGCCTGCTCGGTATTCCGCCTTCTGGGCGAAATCCTAGCCTGCGAAGCGCGGACGTATTTCCGGTCGTCGCTTCTCTCCCTCCGAATACGTCTGCGCTTTGCAGGCTTGCGAAATCCCTGCTGGGGCAAATACCCTAGCGCAGTGAATAAGTAGGAGTGAGGACTGGAATCCACTGAGACTGAAGGAAATTTTCAGGAGTGTGGACTGCGATTTAGTTCATCAAACCCTCTCAGCCAACTGCTTCGTTACGATGTTCGATGTGGGTGAAGGATTGTGAATATAGCCTTAGTCTTGGCGGTTTATGTTGTATTGCAAATGAAAGTAATAATATTCCTTTAGCTGCCTCGATATAAGAATCAAGCGCAAATATATTTCATATATTCGAAACGTTGTTTAGAATTGATGGGGGAAAACTGACATTTTGGGGACACTAGGCAGCATCTTGATTATATTTTGAGCAAGTGTGTGTGTGGGGGGGTGCGGTGCTTGGGAGAGGGGAGCCAGGGGGGATCAGGAGTGGTGTCAGCAACACCTGTCTGTTGTCCCAGAAATGCTTATGCAAGTTGACCCAACCAGTCCTTATCATTTGATAATAACCAGAAGCCCATAATAAGCGCACGAGAATTTTTGGCTCCGACAGCTCAAAGATTAGGTGCCGATAGTCTCTTCAAGATTCATGATTATAGTATCGTGTCGTTTGATCGTTGTCGAATTGTACGGACAAGTTGCAAGACAATCTGAGCCTGCGACCGGCTGGAGATGCGGCAGATGCCTCTTTATCAGCTTGCACGTGTTGCGTGACTGGAAATATTTTCAAGACAACGTAACTTCCTGTTTTAGAAGCTAGTGAAGCAGGAAGACGGAAAGCGGCCAGTATGCAAGTGTGAATACTATGTTGATTCCTAATTATTGTGATTACATACACATATCAGGTACAAGTTACGTTGATCGTTAGCCTTTTAATCAGTGTATGTGGCTTTGTTCAAGCGTGTACTTAGTATGTTTTGATATCATGTTTTCTTCTAGTGCATATCTACACACGGCGGTAGTACATATTCGATCTTCTGATTCTTTCAGCTGAAGGTCAGTCCTTGGAAGCACGGAAGAAGACCCTGAATGACAACTACGGTCAATAGCATAATACAATCCATCGCTTCAGGCTTAAAGAGTTACAGAAAGCAAACAGTCCTTGACAGAACGACAACAATGCATTAAAACAGTAAGTTAATACATGTATATTCAATTTATAGTAAAATTCAGTCCTACATTTCTTAAAGCAATCAGCTTCCAGAGTTCATTGACGACACTAAAGATGCTTTTAGAACCTTATCCGACGATTTGTTTTTCCATGTAAATAAACGTATTTTATGCATGGATTTGGCATATTTCAACGGGATTATTTAATACGGTCCCTGGAATGTTTGAAAACTCGACTGAACCATCCATCAGTCACGGATGACGTTATTAAAAACATCCCGAAACTGCCAGCTGAAACTCTTTATTTATATTAAGGCAATATTGTGTCGGCCGTTTAAAATCAGAGATAGTCCTCTAGATCTCTATCTACGTAAAACTGCAATCAGAGTAATTGATTTAAAATCTGTTGTTAGAATGCGCCCGAAACATTTCAGTTGTAAATGTACAACTAAAAGGAACCCAATATTCGTAAATTGATCTTGTAACGCAAGAAGTGGCGGTGAGGAACACAGAAAATGCTTCTTTGTTCGGGCCTTCCCCATTATCTCACAACTACTTCGTTGAAGATGAAGGACGTTGCCTATCATATATCTCCCTCTCATGGGGTCTTTCATTCTTTCACGACTTTATCATATTTCCCGGAAAAAAAGGATGTTCTCTTTTTGAAATTGTTTCGTCACTGTTTTTATATTTCGAGTGACGTCATAGATGGCGCCAAGACTTGACAGATCTAGTGCACCCAATCAGACAAGGTAATAGCCTGCGAGCAAGCTCTCCCAGGGGTGCGGAGGTGGGGAGGAACGATTTCATAGCGCCCCGGAGACCTTGTATTTGAGGTCTCCCGATTAAAATCTTGTAGTTTCGCCACCATGCTGTCACCGCCAAATGTCCTTATTACGAAAACCACTCATGGAACAAAAACACTGAATTGCCCACTACAAAGCAGAGATATCCGCACTATACACGGTATTGTACTGACAGACAACTGCTTTTTCTTTCATTCAGAAATGACCACTGATTGCCTGCTGGACAGTTAAGCCGTTCTGACAATTTCGCAATTGCTGCTGGTCCGTTCCACACCCTCCTTTCTATAACCATGACTGGAATTCCTGACGTGAAAGAATCCCATCTACCAAATGGATATTGTAGCTTGAGACTGACTCCTAAAGGTAAAACGGAGTATAAGAGTCGTTATAACTAAATGGTAGCATCTATTTCAGACGAATGATAGACCGGCATTGAAATTCGCGTCTTTCAAAGTTGTACCGGCTCTATTTTCTACAAGGTTTAACCCTGGAGTTTACTTAGAACAACGATGAGTAATTTCTAGATCTCCCTTTTAAAACTGTCTCTTTTGGCCTTGGAATAACTAGAGTTGGTAGGGCTTTTGCTGCTGTCTATTTTTATTCCAACTTACTAATAGGGTTCCCATTCCCCGATTTTTGGCGATCTTGGATTGCCCTTATTTGAAGCTCAGGATTCGGGATTGTGAAGGAAAATCGGGGCGAGATTCGGGATTG